TCCTGCTGCATAATATTCTTGAATTCACGTGTTGAGAAATTTGTGTAGAAGGAGACGAGTAGATCAAGTGCCACGCAGACAACTGCATCCAGCAACCATGGCAGATTGGCTTTTATGGTGTCCCATTTTGTTGTTCGGGCAAGAATACTGCTTCTGTCTTAACGGCATCACAAATGTGCACGAGAGAGAGAGAGAGAGAGAGAGAGAGAGAGAGAGAGAGAGAGAGAGAGACCTAGCCACTTGTGTTAGATTTGCGAGCAGTGCAAAGGCGAACATCAGTGGATTCAAACCCTGCATCGTTAGGTATGGCAGAGAGCATTAAACAGTTTGCAGTCGATGCTTATGCGTTTGCGTTTGGAGTGACTAAGGGTTTTACTTACCCAGACGCTTCCTCGTTTGGTCTGATTAATAATACGTATTATCACAAGAAACATACCAATTAGCAACCACCAATCCATGATTAAGATCTGTTTAGAAACGTTAAACATGATTAGGAAACAGTTTTTACGTTAAGCCAAATCTGGGGGACACGGCCACCCATGTAAATAGCAGCCATCGACCATCCCAACCACTGCCCGACCACGCTATGTTATGTTCCATTCCCCTTTCCTGCATCCTTGAATCAGTCATGGTCACATATATATGACAAATACCATTGTGCGTATACAGATATCAACCTACTTGTAGTAGATGTCTGCCCGTGTACGCATTCATCAAACCTGTGGCCTGAAAGGGAAGGTTAACCCAGGCTGCCAAGAACGTTCCATAGCCAGCCTGAAAAAAAAAATGGTATCTATCTCTAATCAATCTAATGTCAAGTAATAACCAATGGAAATGAAAAAAGGGTTCGGGACACAAGCCGGACTAGGAACTGGTCGGGGTTGGAAAGTGGATTCAGTTGTTATAATAATGGTGTTTATAGTAGTGTCGACGTCATCCTCCTCCGAAGAGGAGCCATCCCTATTGCCAAAGCCGAAGGGCCGCTTTTTGCTGCTCGAAAGCATGAGGATGCAGACGGCGGCGTTCCAATTCCGACCAACGATCTGAATTCCACCGAAGAAGAAGGAGGTTAACAACGTCATATATACTTTTACGGAAAAGGAAATGATATTGTTATAATATAAAGTTAGCTTGCATATAGATCTTACAAATGTTATTGTCATTAATTAACGCACATATAAGAATACGTAATAATATGTATACGTACGTGTAATAGAATTCTCTGCAAGGAGAGTCGTTGGGAGGTCTCCCTGGGTCGCAGGAAAATGCCCGTTTCCATTGCCTTTTGCGGTTTCAATGGTTTCTCCTCCAATCGATAATACATATTATGTATTACATAAAATACATCCTCTACTAATGATATCAAATTAATTAATTAATTAATAATAGTTAAGTTTTTTCGTACGTCTACGTTTGTAAAGTCCGTAGATGTGGTCGTAGTAAATGCTCTGTCGGACCAACACTACTGTGCTCGGGGTATAAAGTTGCGACGACAAGGACAAAGCGGTAGATTTCTATAATTATGGGGTCGAATTGAAACTACACCGAAAGTTATGATCCAAAAGTGAAAAATTGAAAACGTCGAGGGTCTGGTGGCTAATTATTTAAAAGGGCACAGAATCTCTGAGTTGAAAGCTCCGAGTGAAGACATGTGTACCAGAGCTGTGTATGATTTATATATATTGTATATGTTGTTGGGAATGAAGGTTGTGGCTCATGACTTCAGCACCAGAAGTCAGGAGGAGTTAGATTGAAGATACGATTAGGAGTTGGTTATTAAGAAGTTATTTTTCAGACAATTATGTATATTCCAGTTTGTAAGAACATGTATAAGTATGTACTAACGTTAAAGAATGAAGTTATACTTTTGATAAACTATCATTAGCCAAAAACATTCTATCGATCTTGTTTTCATTTTCTGAGAAACAACAGAGTGTAATTCAAAAACACTCAGGATTTCTGGAAGCTTTATGATAGAAAGTTCTTTTGTGTTCTCCAATGATGCAATGGTTGTTTCAAATTTTTCAAGAACAGAGACCAAAATCTTATGTACTATTTTATCATCATCAACCTTAGTATCCAGAATTCTGATATTGTTGATTATGTTGACAAGTCTGTCAACATAATCTTTCACTGACTCATCTCATTTCATCTGTTGTCTTTCAAACTCTCGCAACACGTTTAGAACTTTTATACCCCTTATATTTTCATCTCCTTCATACTCGGTCTTAAAAAAATCACACATCGCCTTAGCAGATGTGAGATTCATAATCTTGATCAGAATTGATGGTGTAACCGCAGCAAAGATACATAACTTCGCCTTGGACTTCTTCGTGACCCTTACTGAATCACAGTTGGATTTGCAGGTAATGCAGGGATTTTATACTCGTCTTCTACTGCTTCCAAAAGATCTGCCCTTCGAAAAATGCTCTCATTCTTACTGCCCAGATCTGATAACCTTCTCCATTGAAGATTGGTGCAGATTGGACAGGATTTGGAACTTACATGGTTTCAACTAAATCTATATCTTCGTACTTCTGATTCCCTTACAGAGATCCCACAAAGATCTCCTTCTTGCTCTGATACCATTGATACAACTCTGACTTTGAATTACACTCTGTTGTTTCTCAGAAAATGAAAACAGGATCGATAGAGTGTTTTTGGCTAATGATAGTTTATCAAAAGCATAACTTCATTCTTTAACGTTAGTACATACTTATACATGTTTTTACAAACTGAAATATACATAACTGTCTAAAAAATAACTTCTTAATAACCAACTCCTAATCTTATCTTCAATCTGACTCCTTCTGACTTCTGGTGCTGAAGTCATGAGCCACAACCTTCATTCCCAACATATGTACTCACAGTTGCAGGCTCGAGAAGACAACCGTGAGATTGAATATTTCACTGCACCAATAGGCACACCCGCAAGAGCCGGAAACACAGAATACAGGATATAAAACTGAAAACCGTACAGACAGAACCCGGCGATCCAAGTGAGGAGGAAGGAGAGGGAGACGTCATGGCTGGATTTGGTACGGAAGTTGGTGAAGATTTGAGGAATCTCGGCGACTTCCCAACAGACGAGACTGACCGTTCCGAGCACGTGGTCTGAAATCTGATCTTGATCTTGATCTTTTTTCATGTCAAATACGATTTGGTCCATAACGATAAACCATTTCATCATATCTAACGAGATATATGGGCTACAAAGTAGAACAAAATCTTGATACAGTTTATTATATATATCTCAAATAGATGAAATGTGAATGTCTCCAACTAACTTGTAGTTTTATTGTATAATACTTCCGGGCCGTACTTATTTGATTATCAGGCCTTGCTTTGTGCCTTTCGGACAAATTTAAACAAGAAAGCCCATGTAATTGTTTTTGGGTCTTAAACTCAAGCCCATTAAAGGCCCAATTATACAAAATATATCATGGACAAGGTCCATACATATTATAATAGGTCCGAAAGGCTCAATACGGATTGTGGGCCCAGTACCATTGACCCAATGATATAACCGGAAACCGCTAATTTACAAATAAACCGAGATTGAATGGTTGACCTCACCCTGTGAAGTTATAAACGATTAGATGACGTCATCATGATCAGAACATCACCTGAAATTACGGAAAAGTCCTCCGCAGGACAAGTGGAAGCCAAAACACTTTACCAGTAAACATGGTTGTTGCCATACGTGATGGGACAGGCTGTCACGGTTGTAGTCGAGACACGTGGCAGGTTTAGACACGTCGATTCCGGACCACATATCCCACGTGGCCGTGGCCATCCCTTGCCGGGTATGCCATGTGGACCTCCCTGTAGTTTTGAACTTTTTTTTGTTGTTGTTAGGACCACTTTTGTTTTTTTTTTTGGTGAACATGTAATAAAACCGATGTCCAATAAGACCAAGTCATCAATAAACACTAATATAATACACGTAATGTGTGCGTGCATTTTTTTATAAAATAAATCGATTAACAACATTATGTGCCGTTCCTTTATACAAGTGATGATACGCTTTTTTTTTTAATTATCAATGATTCAAATGTCATTTTCTTCATGGGGCCTAATTATAAAGCACTATCTATAAGTTTTAGAAAAGGTTCCCTATATTATCCTAAAGTCTCATCGTCCATTAGTTCATTTCAAATGACGCGCATTCTAACTAAAGTAAATCTTTAATATTATATATATATATATATATCAATATATATAAATAGCCAAACCGATTATTTCAAGAAAACTGTAGCGCGCGAATCCTTGTTTTAAATATGTAATAGGAAGCAGACTTGATTACAAAAAAAAAAAAGATTTGTAACCTTAAACTATTTCACAACTGGCATTCATGATGTATTTTGCTTCATAGATTATTAACTATCATATGAAAATCTATATATCTAAGAGGAAGTTAAAAACTTTACCTCCAAAATTGGGTGACCTAGTGGTGAGAGAACATACAAAACATGCTCTCACTCTGGGTTCAAATCCAAATGTGGGGAGGGGCATTCATGTTAGGTTTAATCTTTTCGTAAAAATAATGGACCGTTATTATTTTATTTTTAAATGTTTTTAATCTTTTGATTTGATCAATTTGTCTTATTCTTAAGGTAGGAACGTGGGGCGTGAGACATTTATGGTAATTGTTTAGATTTGTTTCTTTGTATTAAAGGCTATGAGAAAATAATACCAAGAAGTTATTTTTCTTCCGGGTTAATCAATGACTCCAACTCTCTCTTTGATTTCATTCACACGCGAATGTTTTCCTTTTCTTTGTTGAAATTTTATTAAGTTTTTCTGACAATTCATCTGGGCTTTTCCGGTCCTCTGGGAGATATAGTCGGGTAAAAGGCCCGATGAATTTCCGGATTATAAAAAAAAGTTAAAAACTTTAACAAAAAAAATAAATAAAAAAGAGGAAGTTGCCCAAAAATAAGGAGAAATATAGAGAGAGGGGGATAACCACTTGTACGAGTCCCGAGGGAGTTCTTGGTAAATCTCACAAGCGATTAGCTGGTCCAAACTAAATCAAAGAGTTGCCTAACAATTGTATTATATTACATGGTGTGTTCACACATATATACGTATGTGTACGTTTTCTATAACCTTTGGCAAGAAAGTTGGCGATAAAATTCCTAGAGATTGTCACGTTTCGTTGTGTGAATATTTGTATTTCACGTCGAAGATAAAAGCACTGGAAAAATAAAATATCAAGAGATGAAGACAGAGGGAGACCATGAGAATGTTGGTCACAATTGGCTCTCAAAGGACTTATTCGGGGAGGGAAGAAATTGACCGTTGCAGATAAAAACATCGCCTGTTTTGTTCTCTATCCATAGATTCCATTTTATTTTTTATTTTATTTTTTGCATTAATTAACCTTTCAAATGAGACAAAAACAATATATATTACGTGCCATATACCTTCAATTAGACTCCTTTACAAATATCTATAAACCCTAATATAAAAAAAAAATTCAGGTCGAAAGGGGTAGATGCCACATTTATTCCATCGTATAAATTGGACAGTTTCATGGGCGTTTGCGTTTGATAACTCGCCAAATATATTATACATTTATTTCTTGAGCCTCGATATGTAATGTCTTCGTCGGTTTAAGGTTTTCTTATACCAACTCCACTTTTATTTTCTACTGTGCACCGACGCAGACATATATATATATATGTATAATGTATGTATCTGTCGGCATATGTTGTAGACATACACCATTTTAAAACTACTGGTATATAACTACAATGTGTGATGAATATTTGTTATGAAAAACTATGGTTGTCAATGGTATGTAACGTTGTTATGGTTAGGGTTTTCAAAACGTGGTAACTCTATTTTCATACTAATATTTTTTTTTAGATTAATAAAATATTTAATCTAAAGCGAGGTTTGATTATTATTTTTTGAAATTATAACTAAGATAATAAAAATATTTTTTATTTTACTTTTTAGGTTTTGTTATACGTCATCTTTTTAATATATGTTATTAATTGTCATTCATTGCACTATTTTAAAATTTCATTCCTCTTTTATTTTATTATTAATTTTATATTATTCTAAATATATA